TACATACATACATACATACATACATACATACATACATACATACATACTACATACATACGATGCATGTATATAATACCCAGACGCTCCATGTATGCCATATATGATATATGCCGACCAATTGGGGTGGTTGAAAAGGGGTCCATTGATTGGCACATCTATGCCAGTCCCATGGAGTGTATATCCCAGACACTCCATGTATGCCATATATGCCTACATTGGGGTGGTTTGAGGGGTGAATGTAGGCATATATGGCAGTCCCATGGAGTGTCTGAGTATAATATGTGCATTAGATGTTCAGACGCGGCAACCGGACAAGGCATTCCCCAACTATGCCACACCGACGCACAAATCGACCTGAAGTTGGGAGATACAACATACTGTGCAGAACGCAACGTACAACGTGCTCAGCAACTCGTTGTGATCGACTTGCCCCGGAACACAAGCTAAGGGAGATCCTAGCGGTCCTAGCGCCTGTACAAGACATAGAACTGCACCTGCATCCTGAGCATTCCTGAGCTATGTGAGGCATGACTAGCTGAGCACCTAATTCAAGAATCTGTCAGCATCGGAAGTGGCATGGAAGTACCCTAGAGCGCTTGTTCCCGCAGTCGTGCTTTCTGTTTCGACATTGAGACTTGCTCCGCTTCTGCAGTGGTCCGACTTCTCCACCTGGCACGCTTGGGAAGTCTATCCGGAAGCTTCACGCGGCGTTCCTTTCGGGTCGTTCCTGCAAAAAGCTGAAGCTGTATTAGGTACCACTTGGATCCAGTATGAATGACGATTGCTTCTCCCTGTGAAACAGACAGAAGATGTGCGCTTGCCACAGATCAACCAATGTGTGCAGAGGCCCAGCACAGCCCAGCTTCTTTGCCCTCCATCCCTTCGCGCGAGGTTTTCGGCCTTCCTCCGTTGGCTGACGGGCATCGCGACGAGGAGAACCGGAACACGGACGCCCGGAGCGGCCGGTGGCTGAGGGAACGACACTGGTCTCACTGGGCTCCAAGCACATCCAAAAAGAAGGGTGATTGGGGTAGGTGCCAAGGGGGGTTCAACTACTGGAGTATGTACGACCAGCCCCTGGCAGATGCACCAAGTTCCAGATTCGATGTCTAGTTCAGGTGGCCTTTGGCGTATATTTTCTAATCCTCCAGTACTTCCTTGCTTGTGCGGGACAGCAGTCCGTGGTCCTTCGTGGCCCCCAAACCTAGTATAATATCGCATAATAGAATGGGCTAATGCCCAGGTGCCACCGACCTCTATTTGGATCCAGTATGACAAGTTCTGTGACAGCTTAGTGTAATATACCTAGAGCCTGAGTGACCAACTCAAAGGTCTTTTCCTATCAAAGAAGAACGAATGGCAATGTTCTTTGCCGAGAGGCCATTGTGCCCTGATTTCAGCCAAATTCATCCACAAGCACCGAAGCCAAGAAAAGACGTCGAGGAATTTGAAAACAGCTGCATTGCCTCACCGATTGGCGAACACCCTCCACCGATGCCTGAGATATATCCTTAGCATATTATGTGTTGTTTTAATGACGTGTTGGATTGTTTTTTTAAGCATCACAATTGATATGTCTCCCACTGGAGAGGTGCTCACAGCATTTTACATTATATAATGCTGAGCCAGTAGGGGGAGGGTCCTGTGGAAAGTAGTAGCAGCACGCGATCTTGTGGGGTACAAAGTGCCCTTTGCAAACACAAGCACAACATCTACATCAAACGACCCGCTTCTGCGTTTGGAAGATGATGTTCTACTAATGGTTGTTGTTTGTTCGTTTCTATCCCTAGGAACCCAAGATACCTTTTCAGAAGGAATTTGGACCCTCCTGGCACCAAAAACAGATGGCAGTGTCTCCAATCACCGTGAATCCAATGTCAGTCTTGGGAGGATTTCCATTTGTGCTTGGTAGCATGGCCATCGCCTTCATGGCCAGGAGTTGCTCTGAGCTTAGCGGTGCTAGCGCCAGCACCAGCGCCCTGGAGGACAGGACAGCGCCGGGACTCGGACTGCGTGCAGTCTTTTCGAGGTAGAAAACGCGCGGAAGACTTTTGGGACAGTAAGACATGCGTATGATCCCTAGGGCTCCAACCATATCCTCAGGTTCGGTGGCTGGACCCCCTTGCTACCCACCCCAATCTTCCGTTCACGGAGGTAGACCACGAGCCCGAACGGGTATAGATGTTCCAACTTCTTCAGTTCGTGACTGAAGGACCGTGATTCCCTGTGACCGTGACCGAACCAACTGGAGGATCTAAGGGACGGCCACTCTCCGGTTTGTTTGTTTGTTTGAAGAACATGAGCAGGCTGCAGGACAGGAAACAGTCCAACGTTGACGACTCCCGGTTTCAACGAGGTTCCGGGGTCTCGACTGATGAGCCACAAGACCTTGAAACTGAGTCTGGGATGGTCTTTCGCTTGTATGGACCGGGTTGGCTGCCTCGAAGGTGCAGAGGTTTTACTGTTCGTTCTGGGAAGAGGGAAACTGGACAAAAGCCATGAACATGCACCCTCCTGTGAGTTCACACGACTCTCCGAAGCAGACATGACATGTAGGCTTGCGCACACATGCTGATAGCAACTGCATGGAGCATGTTGTCACTTCACAGCTGCATGGAGCATACTGTATGCCCTCGTGGTGCAGAAAGGAGCACAGCCTGTGCCTCCGCTCCATTGCACGCGTGGTCGCAAAGATGTCCAGCCAGGGCCGCCAGGGCAGATGTCGAGGTCGGAAGGTGATGTCACATCTCTCCCCCTGTAGAGTAGATGTCCCATCAGTAGCAGGACTCAGATTCTCAACCAAATCCCATTCCACTTCGTGTTCGGGTTCAGAGAGTAGGGTGCTGATGTTCACCACATAGTGTTTAGCATGGTAAGAAATGAGTTGAATTGTTTGATTAATTGATTTGTTAAGGAATAAATTGTTCCAATTTGTCTCTGCACACATTGCGAACGGAGTTGTTTTGGTCAAAACCGGCGTGACGCCGGGTTTCCACCGGAGATTCGTGGAAAGTTGGGAGAAATGAGGCGACTTTGGTAGGAAAGTCGTTGGATCTAACAGATCAGGGAATTGTGGGAACTGCCCAAGTTCTATATAGGCCAGGGCCGGCCAGGGGTTCGAATCTTTGCAGAAGATTGCAATCTACGACCTAGAGCTCCATATGTTGGATCTATACCACCCCAACATCTGTTTTGGTTTGTCCTATGAAAACAGAGGTCATGTTTGGTTCGGCACTGGCACCCCTTTCCCGGGCCCTACATGTCGAACAGAATCGGGGAGGGTCCACGAAACCAGCGACTCCTTGGGGTGGAACTACTTGTGCCATGGAGAACCTGTGAAACCACTGTACTTAGAGGGATCAATGAAAACCAGTAGTGTAGGCTAGTCCAGGACACCCAGTCAGCCAGGACACCCAGTGGATGGTCCTGATATGTCCTGATATATGTATATATATATATATAGGGTTTGTCCGAACTCGAACTTACCTGTAACAGTCAGTAAACAAGAACATCACGATTTTTGAACGAGGCCTGCAACTGAACCATCATCATCCACTATTACAGGTATTAGGATAGACCCAACTTAAAGGGATCGATGAAGACCTGCGGCATCCAGACGTGGTCGTCACTTGCACTGCTTGAGCCCGCAAGATCGCTGAGGCTACATGCAAGGACGGCCGGCTGTTGCACTTGCGCATGAAATACGCCCGGCTGTCGTACATGCCCCAGGGTGTGTGTGGTGGATGATGGCTGGATGTACATTCCGTATCTTCTCCGGGAGAGATCGTGTGCATCTATGAGGGGTGCCATGATTTTCAAAAATGACCACACTTGCCGGAGAAAAACAAAGAATGGAACCAAAACAACTACGGCACCAATAGAGCCTCCACTCCTCGTTCGTGTGCCTACGGCGCCGGCCACGAGACCGGAGGAGCGCTGGGTGCGATGGACCCCGCGCGCCCGTTGACCGGGCGGCTGGGACAAGTAGCGGAGGGCCTCGAAGAGGCGAGGGAGGGCTGCTGGTTCCGGTCTTTCAGCCGGTGGTCCAGTCGTTTTTTTTTGGATATCCCGTCACCCAGCCAGGTGAATGGAATTTGAAGGAATGAGGAGGTGAATAGGTGAATGGAGTGTATGAATAGGAGGTGAATGGAAGAAATGAGAAGTCTTTGAGAGTCTTTCTTGGTGTTAGTGGGACAGCAAAGTTTGAGGTTGAAGACCTGCTGCTGGTGGGTTTGGAATGGACTGCATTCCCTGCATTCCAGGCAGCCGACGACCTCGCCCAGAAGGCGAGGTGGCACACAGCTGGGTGATGCGATGAGAGAGTTCAGATTAGTTCAGTCCCAACTCCAGGAGCAGCTGGAGCAGGTGGGGAGCAGGTGCTTCACCCAGCTGCGGGTCTCATGTCCGTCTCAGGTCAAACCTGTCCGCCAAAGCTGTCTTCTTGGAAAACCCATACTCCGCTGCTGGTTGGTGCTTGGGAGTTGTTGGGTGCTGGTTTGGAAGCAGGAAGCAGGTGGGAGACCCACATTTGTTTGGAGGCCGCTAGGTTGGAGGCCATCTGCTGTCGCTTCAAGGCCCCAACCACCGGAACCGAGGACGCGCCGAAGTGGCCGTGTTGACTGATGTGGCCGACACACGGATGAAGGGCGCAACCATGAATGGCCTGAGTTGACCTGGTAAGAGATGATATGGTGAGGAATCCAACCACACCCCACCAAACCATGGTAGGTTCGTGCCTTGTTAGAGAGGAATCTGTTGATTCTCGGTGGTCCACTAGGCTGCCCTCCCACCCAATGAATCAAGCCAAGCGGCAGGTGAGTTTGTGCCGACTTCCTGCAAAATTTCAATGGGGGGAAGGTGAAGCAAGAACTTTCACATGCCAAGAAGATAAGGTTTGACGAGTGCGAAACATGTGCAGTGCGAAGTCGTTTGCTTGTCTTGCTTGTTTGCTTGCTTGTTGTTTGCTTGCTTGCTTGCTCGCTTGCTTTCTTTGTGAGTTTGTGTTTCGTTTGCTTGATGGGTTTTGCTTTGTCTTTGCATGTCCTGATGTCTGCACCTGTTTGTTTCCTCACCGTGGCCCGGCCAGATCCTTTGGACCCTCGGGAGGGGGCATCCGGCTGATCCTGGGTCAATGGATTGGATGGTCAATGCACATTAGCTCGGGGGTAGTTCGGGTAGCACCTCGACCTGGGTGCTGACGCAGCACGCACCCCGAACGGTCCCCAATTCCTTGGTTGTTCCATCGAAATCTCATGACATCTCCGAAATGACGGCCGTGGATGACTTCTTCGCAGGCCGCTCGTTTGTTGCAGAAAGGAAAGCACGGAAAAGCGGCCCCGCGCCTTGGCTGGGACAGGGGGTGGCGCCATGTGAAAGCCAATTCCGGGGACTAAACTATTCCGACCAGTTCCCTCGGGGCTGCTTGGTCTTTGGAATTTGTGGATGCCTGATTTACTTAGTGTGATAAGTGTGCGCAGACTCGCAGACCTTGCGCCGACCCTTCTATTGGGTGATATAGGAGTCATGGCTCCAACATGGCTGTGGAACAAAGCAAACAGAACAAGCCAGCATTGTGTTACATTTTGTGCGTCAGCCAGATTGGCATACCATGCCAATGGGATACTGATGGATACTGAGTAGATTCTGAGTAGATCATAAGTCATCCATGTTTGGAAGTGATTGATCCGCTGATTGGTTTGCTGATGCAGATGACACAGATGACCTTCAGATCCATCTACGATTTGCACCAAGCACGATAGGTTCTGGAAAAGACAAGTAGACGAATAAAGAGATGCAAAGGAGAGAACACAAGACAGCATGCCAAATACAGTTGTCTAAGCCGTTGCTTGTGCGAAGTACCATGCAACTTGCCTCAGGGGAGCCATGTACTTTCATGTATTTTCAGACTCTTCAAGCTACTCAGCTTCACAAACAACATGACCATGAACGACATTGTGTGTGATGCTCCTGTCCGTGTACATCAGCTCCAAGTTACTTGAAGTCAGATAGTGTTGGTCGTCGGTGCTTTCAGGATACAGCACACATCATGGAGTGTTGGGTGTTGGAGTGTTATGGTATCTTATGTTTCTTTCCTTCGTGCTCTTGCTGCTGCACTGCTACGTGCATGTGCAATCATGGCAGCCACGGGCTGTGCTTTTTGGTCGATTTCATCCTGTGTAGATGATATATATGCTGCTGAATACTGGTAATGTGATGTGATCATTTTGATGTGCAAATGGCAGGCAACGTGCTTTGAGTATCGCTTTCGAGCGAATGAACGTGACAATATGACACTTGAGCTCCGCTACTCCAGCGCTAAGCATGGCTGTTTCGAGATTGCAGTTTGTTGTTCTTTTTTTTTAATGAAGACGTTCGTCACTTTGCCCTTTTTCTATGAGTTTGCCACTTTGCTTTGACTAATCTTGGCCAGAAATGACAAGTTCCTTGCGGTACCATGTCCAACGAATCCTCTATTTCTTACCGTAGATTCGTTCGGCCTCATTGCTCAAAGCATGGCCATGATCGACCGAACCATTTTCCGCAAGCATGTGTCAGGGCAAAATTGCGCTGAAGATAAGGACAGCACTCCCATTCACTAGCGGGCTTTCTTTCGAAAAAAGCGACGGAGGTCTCCACCTTTCTTCCCTGTTCTTTCCGTAGAACACTGAAGAACGACTGCTGCGACTGCTGTGGTCGCTCCAAAAAGAAGAACGGCAGCGATCCGCCGGTTCTAAGGTGATCCGTGTTTTTTTCCTGCCCTGTTTCCGGCATAACTGTACCGTTGACACTGAGCGGGGGTTGAGGCCTGTACTCAAAGGATGGATTGATCTGGAGATGACTTCCCCTGTTCGGGATGAGAACACGTGCGTTAATCCATTTTTGCTTACGATCCTGGTGTGTATGTCGTCCGTTCGAACTTCCAGTATGTGACCTCCTAGTATGTCAGAAAACTAGATTCAAATAGAGCAGAGGTTGGGCGTCCCGCTATGTAAAAATACCATAATATGGTGACGCCCAAACATCCATTTTGAGCGGCCCCATTGAGGTATTCAAACATACCACCATATACCACATATGCCGATCGATGCCGCCGACCTGGCCTCGGTTTTCACGCCTGCCCAGTGACACCTCGAAGAGTGTGACTGCCGGCGAACTTCGCCGCCTGCTGCAATCTGCGTTGTTGCAGGGTGGGAGGCCGAGTTTCTGGTGACTTAACATGTACCAGTATGGCTATAGATGATGCAATCTCTCCAAAGTGGTTGGGATGGTTGCATCTCATCAAAGGCTAGATGTCCATACACCAACAGCCTTTGTACCTACTGCTTAGCAGTGCAAAAAAGGTACAGGTTCACCGCTTCAAGATCGAACCGCTTCACCAGTCGTGACCCTCCAACATGTTTATTGGGAACCAACAACAGGGTGTTTTCCACTTAGAGTGAGTGAATGAGGGAGTATGGTTTGGTACAACAGAACGGTGACCACAACGGGCCCTGTTGAAAGCCCTAGTGCCGACACCGATGGGTTTTGGGATGTTTGGGTGTGGGTGATGTTGTTTTTTCCACCACAAGATCCGGGGCTTCTGTAGCAACCTGGGCAGCCCATTCTTTCCCTAAGGATCCACCTACCGAACCTCAGGAGGTACGACTACTGCCTCCTCCTGACGCCTACATCAATAGTCTCCAATCACCTGAGAAGGTACGACTGGATCCCTATAGGGTTTCGCAGCAAGCCGGACCGGGCTGACACCGCTGCTGACACCGCTGCGAGGGCTGACACTCTGCCTTCCCGTGCTCCGAGCTCCGATTCCATCGACATCTCGGTGCTGGCGCGAAAGGAGTGAAACTGACCCTAGGGATCCAGTCGTACCTCCTCAAAAAGGTACTTGGACCCTCCTGGCACCCACCCCAGTCTCACCTTCTCAGAGGGCACTTGGATCCTTAGGGTGAGAGGACGTCTTTGAGGTGACCTGGGCGCCATGGACATCACCTAGATATCCAGTGGTTTCACATGTGAGAGAGGATGAGAGAGGTGGTGAGGTGTGCAATCTCCACAACCGGGGAACCCAAGACCTTAATGGGTGAGGTGTTGGGGATTGTTGGGGTGTTAAGCCATCTCCACAAACCCATACAAACCGTCCCGAGACTGTCTCCGAGTAAGTGGGGAGACCCTCACGATGTCGTGTTGCCCCGCTCACCGGAGCTCATCTCAGGGGAGAGCCAGCGACGTTCGATCCTGGGTCTTTTGGCTGGGCATCCGAACTGGCAACTCCCACATGAGGCAGACGGATGAAGGAAGGGAGGAGGAAGGGAGAGGGCAGGGGGCTGACTGATTCCAAATCCCGGAAGGTCCAGAACGCCCGTTTGAAGGAAGAAACCCACATCATTTTGCTATAGAAAAACACAACCAACACACAGGAAACTTTACTATGCAGATAATCAACAGATAGACATATATAATTTATATATAGACATGCCCAGTGTTCTTGCTGGTTCTAGGTGGTGTAGGATTGCTCGTTCCTCAACAGTGGCACCTTTCACTCCAAAGTTCCAAGGCCAAAGGGCCCAGACCTTCCGCGGAAGACAGAAGGCGGTGCAAGATCATCACTGATTGATATCCTTTCTTCATGACCTACGTTTAATGAATCGAATGAATGCCCAGATCGATGGTCCAAGGTGAAGGTTGATCGTTTTCTCGAGTGGTTTGATGCCAGGATTTGCCCGATTTGGGCTCCCAAAGGGGCTAAGATTGCTGAAGGAGTTCATTTAGTGTAAAAACTTGCTCCATCGTCACTGAGTAGAATTGATCCAACCTTCTCATTCGCCTCATTCGCCTCGTGCAGATGTCACACGATCTCGCGTGGGGCCAGGTGCAGAGACAAGAGAGTTTGCTGCAACACTTGCAGGAGAGACAGCCCGACGGTGACGCATGTTGCGGAATGGTGAAAAAAAACATGTGTTCGATTGTTCTACACACAAATCATCCTTGGGTGTTAGACCATGGAAGACCGCGGAAGAAGTTCTGACCATTTCTGACCACAGCACATTCTTTGGAGTCACCAAGTTTCAAGCCATCGTTATCGGCTCCTGGAGATGGCAGATCGTAAACAGGGGAGATTGAGACTGAAGTTACAGTCGACTGGCAGGAGGCGGACACAGTTTTGTCTTGAAAGTTACATTTGTTCCATGTTGTTTTTAAGCCAAAGAGGCTTAAGATTGACTCAGTGATTTCAGGAGCAACGAGAGGGCGGAAGCGGTGCTGCGCGCACCCAGGGAATGCAAGACAGGCAGGGAAGATGGCCGGTGCTGGTCTGGGTGGGATGGTTCGGCCTGCAAACGAACAAAGTGAAGTTCTGAAACTGGAGATCACCTTTGTTCGTTACCGAAGAGAGCCGTTGTTGTTGCGCCTGCAAACATCTAATGTTGAGCACCATGGCCAGGACGTGCCATAGAGTAGTCCTAGTACTACAGTCCTTGTTGAGCTGTTGTTCTTTGTTCAACAACGGAAAGAGGACCCCGAGGGGGGACCCTTGAGGGGGAGTCACATGACTCGTTCTGTTCGGGTGCTGAAAAGCGCACCAGCGCCCATTTGGGCTTGTGCTCGGCGGTCACGCCTGGGGGGATCCTCTGGGGAGCCGGGGGGAGCCTCGGGGAGACGCAAGACGGGCGCGTCTCCACATGGTGAGGGTGAGCGTCTAGCGGCTAGTCTAGCGTCGCCATGTCCTTTTCTGCGCGGCCAGAGGTCGTGTTGATACATCAAACATGTATCATCTTCTATCCAACGTGATCCAACCATGAACCACTCTATCCTCCAAAGGTATGGACAGACACCGATGAACTGCCACCTGGTCACCTCTAAAAAACACGAGCAAAAAAAACGTGACAAAAACATACAAAAACTGTACCTTATAGGATTATAGGAATGTATGGTCTTCAAGTCTTCAAGGGGCCCAGGTTCCATTTCCATGTGATGTGTGAGGCAACAAGAGGGTCTACAGAGGGTATCTAGAGGGTCGAATCTGGAATATCTCACCGGGTTCCAAGTCGCCCTCGGCAGGCGCCCGCGCACCACGGTGCTGGCCTTTGGCGCGTCCCGTGCCCGAGCGGAAGCACAGGCGCGGCCGTTGAATGTCGGGGCGATGGAAACGGCAACGAGGTGTGGGTAGAGGTGCTGGGCTGCCCATGATCCAGTCGCTTAAGGACCGAACCATTCCACCTTGGAACTCCTGGAGGTTCTTCTTTTTGTCAAAAGAAGGTCGTCTCAGCCCTGTTTGGTAAAGGGGGCAATGGTTGGCGATGGGCATGGTTCTATTGGTTCTAATGTGTCCCAATGGTTCCTCCACAGCCAAGCTATTCTCCATTCTCACTTCAGTGAAGCTATTTAGATGCAGCTTATTTGGAATGTCCATAGAGCGGCACAGGAGGCTAAGTGTGGGTGGGTGTGGAGTTGGGACTTCCCGCTTGGAGGTTGTTGCCTCATCTTCTGTTTTGAGTCTTGATTACACACTTGGATGTCTCTGAAGTCTGAAGCTGGCAAAGAAAGGTAAGAAAGGTTGTGTCAGATCCTTTCCAGTGCTAAGCAAATGCATGCAAATGGAAAGTCTGGATCAGGAAGGCACCCCAAAAACCAGGTGAGGGCTCAATGGAATGATTTTCAGAGAAGCACTAACTACGACATGTTCTTCAGCAGCAGAAGAGGTGCTCGAAGAGGCTGTCGATCGGTACTGTCGAGCGAAGGGCCCGACCGCTGACCTGCCATTTGACTTCCAGTCGGCCAGTCGGGCGCGCCTATAGGCTATATATACCAGGACCCTCCAAGGGATGTCCAATGAACTACCCCACACTACCTATAGGCTTCCTGACAGGGCACCCCTTGGAGGGTCTTGGTATAGTCCTTGCTTCTTTTTACGGTCGAAATCAGAGAATGTTGCCAGCTTTCACCTCTTCCACGGTCACCACTTGGGCGGGCTTCGGCCTTGCCCACCTAGAAGGCAGCGCTTTGCTGGCGCTGATTCTCCATATCTGAAAAACACACTTGAATCCGATGCGAATTTATGGCGACAACCGGATCCACGTGGACGAGTTGGACCACTGCAGAGATGGACCACTTCCACCACCTTCAGTGACGCATCCCAGCAGCCGCTGGCGCCCACACGAGATTGACAGATTAAGCTTACATGGTGCATTTATGTTTTGCCTCCATGGGCATCTCCTTTGATACTTGTTTCAATCAGCATCCCCTCCAAAACCCCTCCGAACCTTCCTAAGAGGAAAACGTCCAGAATTAGAGGATTGCAACTACCACAGATTCAGGAATTCTTCACAGGATGCAGGTTTACAATAATGGTTCACCGGTTGACATATGTTTACATCTCCACATCCCGAGATGTGGCCGTCGCCGTTGTCGCCATAAATGGTTCGCAGCCGATGACGACCTTGCAGGCGCAAGCGGACTTCGCGGAATTGGCACCCTGGCTGAGTGAGAATGATACAAACTGGGAATTGCTTGGCCCAGTGACTCAGTGGTGGGCTTCGCTGGGTCCATGTGTTTTGGCCCATGGGGGACGCGAATGCCACCGGTGGGGAGCCAGACAAAGAACGGTGTGTTGTTCCACAGTGTGGAACGTCCATGTGTTCTCCGGTTGCGGGACCGGCTGCGGGGGTCCCCGGATGTACAGACGAGTATACAGTAGTGCTAAGCAGAGACCAAGCTTGGGGGCGAGAGATTCTGACCGATTCTGAAGCAACTTGAGGTTCATAGGAACTCATGATCCAACTTGACAAGGATTGAAACCATGCTAAACTACCCTCGGGTTCTACCCAGCTGGATGCCACCCATGAGGGTCTTGAAAGCCACCCATGTTAGTCCATCACAAAAGCCGTTTGTGGGGTTTCAGGGCTCCAAGCACCCGTCGGAACCTCCTTCATAGCCCCTGCTGCATTTGGGTTTGTTTCCTTGTTTTTTCAATAGGCAAGAAAGACCAATCATATAGGTCAAAAACATTTTGGAGCGTCACAAACTATTGAGGCTTATGTCGTGGGACCAGGTACAATTGCATTTCTGATTGTACCTGCTCATTGGCCCTTGCTCTTTTTGTTGACACTCCAACAAGTTACCATGTGTTTTTCCTGGTAGCCGGCACCAAAGACCATGCCTCGGGAGCACCGGGATTTCCAGGATGTATGATGTTTGTTTTATTCAGTGATCACCGTCTCCAAGATATGGGATTTTCTGCCAAGTGGGCTGTGGTCCCGTTCTTCCCAAAGCTTTTTCTGAACATTCAACCATAAGGAGTGCACACAGCGATTGGCACACCAACCAGTTTGCACAAAAGCTGGCAGTGTATGCTGCACCGCTGTACCCAACAAATTCGTACAAAGTATGCCGTGCCGGTGGGTCTCAAAAAAGCAACAAACAGACCTGAAAAAGACATGAACCAATAGAATGTCCGAAAGCCGTGTGCCTCCGAAACTCAAAATCCAAAGCAATCAGCTTGCTGACGGGTAAATGGTGCTTTTTTTTGAGATTCCATGTTTAGCAAGGGCAACCTCAGCTTGTGGCATGCAAACACTGCACACTACAGATCTGATCATCCCTCCCAAGGAGCCAAAACACAGCTGTTCGGCCTTTTTGGTTCCCTGTCGTCGCCATGAGTGGTGCTGCCTTGGCTTCCTGGGCGTCCGCCGCGGGCGCGGAGATGTGCCGTGAGGTGGAGTGGCTGAGGCCCCACGCCACAGGCACAAAGGACCGGACCAACGGATCTCGGACCGATGCCCTGGAAAAACCCTATGGATCCACATACCGAGTATACTCAGGAGATGTGGGTGGTGCTTTCAGCCAGGAGTCACCATGGAGTTGACGTCGTGTGTGCTCTTAGTCCCATTCAGGGGCCGTGGATGTGACGTGACGTGACAGGGGCACCTGCACTCCAACCTCCAACCTCGTTCGGCACACCAAGTGTCCATGTGACTCCGAAGGTGTTTTTGATCTATTGACTAAGCTACTAGGAGTCTCATGGAGTCACTACTAGGAGATGTGTTGACTTGGAATGAGAAAAGTCACCCCCTGACTCATCTATTCCTTAAAGTTGGCTCTTTTGTAGAGTACTCTAACCACCGGACCCTCGCTCCAGCTCCCTCAGCTCCCGAAAGCTCGATGCGGGAGCCGCCATATATGCGATGGCCGGTCATCCCTTCAGAGTCGAAGCAAACCAGGACGACCGGACCGTGGTGCAGTGCTGTGCGTAGTCGCGCTGCTTCGGTGTAGTGCGGTGGCCCCCTGCCGGTGGCCGTGACACATGCTGTGGGGCCGCCGTGCACTGGAAGCTTCCACCATTGGAATTGTCGATGTTTCTAGAGAGAAGCATAGTACCCAAGGGTAACATGTAACTGGTCCCTTACCTGTCCAAAGGTGTATGCTATTGTTTGCTATTAATACAGTATCGACGGAAACCGATCAAGCAAAAGCACACACTCTAGATTTATTCACAACAAAGTGTCTTTCACAACAACCATGCGCCACGTCTTCCGCAGATTCATCCTCATCTCCCCGGAGAGGCACGCTCCGCCCCGTGCTCCCACCCGCCCCCGTGGGGAAACCTCGGGGTCCAGGCGACCGCGGCTGCTATGCGCTGCAGACGCTCCGTGAAGGTCAACGGTTGTTGCGCCTCCCAAGGGATTTAGCCTTCGAGGTGGAGCTCCACTGTGCCCCGCGGCAGGTGGAGGCCCGAGTGGAGAGGAGTGGAGAGTTGCAGCGGAGGTTTTTGAAGAGATGGCCTCTTTTTTGGGCTCCGGGAGGTTGAGGAGAGGGTTTAATGTGGGCGTGGGGCAGGACAGGGAAGGGTTTCGGGATTGGTGAAAAGGACGTCAAGGGCTTTGAAGATTTGTTACTTATGCCGTGTGCCTATATGGAAGGACTCTATCCAAAATCAATCAAAATCATCCAACTAACATCACATGTTAACTTGTTTCTACTGTCCAGGACGGTTTGTAACAATGCTCAGGAACGAGCACAAACAATCAAGAATTCCGACAAGTCGTGCTATGAAAATAGAGCAACACCAAGACACTCTATGGGACATCAACTATACCTATCAGTTGGGGGTTGTTGAAGAGGGGTCAATGGAGAGTCCATATATGAATCCATACCCATGGAGTCGAGTGTTTGAGAAGTCATTTGAGCCACTCTATAAACCTCCCTGTTCATGTTTAGTGGTGTTCGTCCACATAGGCAGATGCCACACGTTGTAAGAGAGCTGCTCATAGGCAGAAGCCCATCCGGCCTTCCTTCCGTCGAACCCTCGTGGTTCAGGTCCAACCCGACGCACCAGGTCCGAATTCGAAGACCCCCCCCAAACTCACATTCAAACCTGAGGAATTCAGGGGGGGTGGTGTTGGTGGAAGACCCTTTTCAGACTACCAACTGCACCGTGATTCTTTTTTTGGGGGGGGTTCATGTGTCTTTCCAGCGGTGCTAGCCTTCCGATCGCGGTGCTGGCCGTCAGGTTCACGTCTTGGAGGCCTTGCGGCGCGCCTTCGACGAGACGAAGCATGGGGTGGCCCGGTTTGAAGGGGTGGGACTGGGACTGGTGGGGTGGTTGGGCTGGTTGGGTTGAGGGCCCGCTTTTTTTGTTTTTTGTTGTTTGGGTGAGTTGGATGAGGGGTTGATGAGGGATTGATGAGGAATTGCTCCGGGTTTCTTAGGCTTAGTTCGGTTCATTGTTTGGGTGGTGGGTCAGTGGCAGGACCACTGGGGTTCCAGATGTGATGTGCGGATATGTGCGATGTTTGCGCAACTCGTCTTCGAGCGAAAATAGACCCAGACCAGACGAATGGGACTGCCAGTCCGGACTGCCGATCAGGCCAGGGGTTGTTGAAGAGGGGTGAATGCAGGCACACAGGCCAGTCCCATGGAGTGTCGGGGATAGATTGACTCGCTCAGCAAGCTCAGCCAGTGACAACCTTCAGCCTTCCGGACGACGCTCTTCTATTCACGACGCCCGAGTCTGGTGCCTCAAAACCTAGGCATTGGTGAGAAACTCCAGACCCCTCCGTTTGAGGGTCCATAAGCGTTTGGTTTGAACCGTTTTCTCTCAGAAGTTTCGAAGATGAATGCAAGAGGGCTGAGGGCTGACACAGACCTCAAAACGCAGGACGGAGACAAGACCTGATGACGGAGACCACGCCTGGTAGGCCGCCATGGTTCGACCATTTTCTCGAATTTATGATGGATACCGATGGTATAGGTGGACAACACTTTTGTGATCTTTTATGGTTACACCCATTGGTTTGGTCAAAGTGTTTGCAAATTTCATGCAAGGTTGCAAGACCTCTACCTCTTCTCAGTCGAATGTCCGGGACATTGACTGAACACTTGTCCGGGACTTTGGTTCCCTGTGTCATGGGGCCTGCAGTTTTGGTACTTTGGTACTTTGGTTCCCCGTGTCATGGGGTCTGCAGTTTTGGTACTTTGGTACTTTGGTTCCCCAGGTCATGGGATCTGCAGTTTTGGTACTTTGGTACTTTGGTTCCCCGTGTCATGGGATCTGCAGTTTTGGTACTTTGGTTATTTCTCCAAAACCAAACTCAAAGAATCCAAAAGTCCACAAACCCCATGGCCTGACCTGAGTCACTCTGGGACATAGATCTGTGCAGTTTTGGTACTTTGGTACGTTGGTTTTCCCTCTAAAACCAAAATACCAAAATATCAAAACTGCTGTGCCCAGGCCTGAGACACTTTGGAGACATAGAGCTGTGCAGTTTTGGTAGCCCACAATACCGTAATATCAAAACTGCAGAGCCCATAAAGAAATGTTGTTGTTTTGTTTTACTCTTTCTGTAATGGGTTTGAATTTATGTCTTTTTAATCAAGTATGAAGCTCGTTTTTTTTCTGAAATACATGCATTTGTTGCCGTGTTCAATAGTTGTTGTAAATAATAGTGCAATGTTTTATGTAGTTCATAGTTTGTTCTAATTTGATCTCAAAAAGTTTTAGTATATGGTTACTTTAATTTTGGTTTCAGTATGTTTTTGCTTGAATCATTTAAATTGCTTGAAAAGTAGAATCCAATCTAATCTTTAATCAGGTGGGTTGCTATGCAGCTCTAATTTGCTTCTAGAGAGTGCGTGTCGCTTTTAAAATGAAAGCTTTGTATATATTTTATGTGTTGCTGTCTTAAATCTTGTTTCCTTAAAATCACACCCCCAGCAAAACCCTCTCTCTAGAATACAGTCAGCATTACGTGAGAATTCAATTTGCATTGAACTAGTAGTATCTAGTAGTATCTTTGCATTGAACTAGAATCGATCTAAAATTTAACTAGAAATATTACATTACAACTAAACTAAAAATCATAATAGAATTAAACTAGAACTGTAAACAACTGAAATGGAATGAATTGTATTTAAACTAGCTGAAACCAATTTTTGATTACACAAATTATATATACAAATGTAAAATGACATA